GGTGAGAGAAGGAAGACAGGATGTCGCAGGGGTGTGGTCTCTGGCTTCGCTGCAGTGAAGGGATGGTGCCAGGGAGGTGAAGTAATCACACTGGAGGGGAACGGATCCGTGCTGGCAATGGTGGTCCGAGAACAGTTTGTGGATGCCCAGGGAAACAGCGCGCTGGCTCCATTGCCACAGACCGGTGAGCTTGGAAGCCACGGTTACCCTTGTGAAGGATCACCTGGCTGCCTGGCCAGAGGGAGTGGTGAGCCGTAACCAGCCGGCCGGCAGACCACCACCTGTGCCAGCACTGAGGAGGCCTCCTGGGCCTGCCCCTGCAGAGCGCACACTAATCCATTTATCTCCACTCTTCTTCCCCAGGGCCCTGAGGTGACAAATTGTTCAGAAAGAATTGACTGAAATGCTGAAAATGGGAGTTATAGAAGAGTTGCACAGTGCTTGCTGTAGCCCCATAGTTTTAGTTATGAAGAAAGATGGGTCTAAATGGTTCTGTGTCGACTACCTCAAGTTAAATGAAGTGTGACGATTTTATGCCTACCCCATGCTCCAGATGGACGAGCTCCTGGACTGGTTAGGCACAGCTTAATTTTTCACTGCACTGGATTTAATGGTTTAATTATTTATATAGCACATTTAATTACAACAGGAGCGTTGACCAAAGTGCTGTACAAGAATACAACATACCTAATAAAATAACTTAGAGTATTGATAGCAAACACCAAATATGAATTAACAAATAACTCTCATGTTGTATTAAAAGCCAGTAAATAAAAATGCGTTTTAAGATGAGATTTAAAGATTGACAGTGGGAGCCTGTCTGATGTGTAGGGGTAAATTATTCCACAGCTTAGGTGCTACGACTGCAAATGCTCCATCGCCTCTATGAACCAGCCTCGACCTTGGTACAGCTAAAAGCAAAAGATCACTTGATCTAAGAGATCTAAAGGGGGTATAAGTCTGCAAGAGGTCAGACAAATACCCGGGAGCCTGTCCATTCAGGGCTTTGTAAGTTAACAATAAAATTTTAAAGTTAATTCTGAAGCGGACAGGGAGCCAATGAAGACCAAGGGTTACTGGCAGATTCCCTTGTCTGCAGAGTCCAAGGAAAAGACAGCCTTCTCCACTTTGTACGGGTTGAAGTGTGACCATTTGACACACTTCGGCTTGTTCGGAGCCCCAGCCACTTTCCAGCGCCTCATGAGGTGCTGCAGCTACACTGGGGTACCACTTGAGAGACGGACAGGTGTGTCCACAGATGTAGAAAACAGCAGCTACTGCATCCTGCCTACTCCCAAAGATTAAAAAGGAGGTGAGACGTTTCTGGGGTTGGTTGGTTACTATCTCCGGTTCTTCTCCGGTTTTCGGACCCAATCAGGCCCTTGACCGATCTCACCTGAAAGGACACCCCAGATCTGGTCCAGTGGACAGAGTGGCAAATGTGCAGGTGATAAAGGCTCTGTGGGGAGCCACTGTTCCACACACCTAACTTTCCCCTCCCATTCATCCTGCAGACGGACGCCTCAAACACAGGGGTATCGACCAGCCCATTCTCTACATCAGCCGGAAACTGACAGACTGGGAAAGAAGGTACAGTATGGTCGAGAAGGAGTGCCTGGCTATCTGTGGGCAGTCAACTCTCTTCGTTATTACCTCCTTGGATGCTCATTTACTCTCTGACCACGGACCACGTGCCACTGCAATGGCTCCAAAGCATGAAAGATACCAAAGCCCGGATCACCCGGTGGCTTCAGATGATCCATAGGCCATAACAGATGGCCGTGGCAGATTTTTTGTCCCGTTC